AATAAAGTGTAGTAAAAGTTGTTTAGTATTTGTGTTTTTAAGAGAAAAATAAGTAAAAGTGTGATAAGACTTACATTGAGTTTATAGACCTGAGTGTCATTGGCGTCGGGCATGACATCGATGGCAAAGATAGGGTGCGTTCCCAACGAGGCTATCAAAGCGGCCAAAGAGTCCTTCCAGTCGTACGACTCCGGAGTGAAGGAACTGGAGATTAGAGGCCATCCGCCCATTGAATTGACAGCCGCTATAAGAGGTGCGACTCCGCGGGACTCACGAGTGGCTGGCATTCAGACAAACATTTAAAAACACATTTTCGCTATAATTAAGACTCATTTGCATACAGTTGTCGACACATGACTTGAAGAGATCGGACGCGAAGATCACTGAATTGGAGTCACTTTTGATATGACTTTCATTTAGAGACGATTTGATGGTCAGTTCAATGATTTCTTGGAGAGTAACGTCTCCGAAGTAATAGGACTTATCGGCGGGAATGGTATGCGTGGCCTCCCATCCCCCGCACGCGAACTCATAAAAATCATCGCATGGATCGACCGATTCGTTGAGGTTTGCTTTCAGTGTCTTTCCCGCGGATTCACAGGCACTGGTAGTACAGACTTCGGGGTCATTGTAGTGATGGATCCAATTGTTTAGGTTTTTGTCTGAGATATCATTTATGGATTGGTGTGTATTGAGTGGCAATAGTCTCGCACTCGACAGCACCACAAATGATAGCAAACATAGAAATCTTGAATAATAGAGAATTAGTTTAAAATTCATGTTTAAATAAAATATCGTTTAAAACACAAATATAATTATCATTAAATATAAAACTTTATTCACTTTTACTAAAACTGATTCTCATGTTAAAGACTCTTTAATAAAGAGGAATATTTTTCTTATGATATCCAAAACATATTTGAGAAAATATTTATACTTTCATAAAACTCAATAATATTTACAATAATCTAATTTAAAGTTAATTTTTATATTTATAAATAGGATTAAAGGTCTGTTGAAAAGTATCTCTGTTTATACAATTAAATCGTCAAAAATTTTAGACAAAAATACAAATAAAATGTTATCTGATTCTCTAAGAAAGTTCCCAAAAAT